AATACTTAAACCCTAAATTTAAATATGTTTACACAAGCAACAAGGTATTTTTTTTAATAATAAAAGGATTATTTTCTCGTACACTAACGGTGAAAAAATATTTCGTAAACAGAGTGAGTTGTATCGATGTTATTTGTATCATTTAAGGTTTATAATTTAGGGTTTAAGACTAACGTTTGGATTCATTATTTAAGAGTTAAATGTTTAGAATCATTCAAATATATGGAATGACATTCAAATAATTATATTCATAGAATCCAAATTTCATGTAATAAAAGTGTCTTACACTTTTAATAATAAAACAATTATTATCTCATAATGAAAAAAAAAGTATTCTACCAGCATAGTTGGACCGATCTTATTTGTATTATAGATAATTTATAATTATATGATTTGGGGTTTAAGATTTAGGGTTTAGGGTTTATAATTATATTCTTTTAGCATAGTCGGATTTAGGATTATTCTAGATAATTTATAATTATATGATTTGGGGTTTAGAATCAAAATTAGGGTTTAGAACCATTAAATGTGTATCAGACGACATTCGAATAATTATATTTATAAAATCTAAATTTTACACAAGGAAAGCATCTAAACACTTGTTAAACCCTAAATTCAAATATGTGCACACAAACAATAAAATAATCAAATCACATAAAATAAAAAAGGAAAAAAATAGTGGTTTTGTTTTTCAAGGTACCATGAGGAAAACAAGAAAAAAAGAAGAGGGTTCCACCTGAGTTTGTCATTCATTGGTTATATCATATAAGTACATGATTATTCTTTTATTCTCCCATAAACCATAATAATCAAGTGATGCACATGGTAGATATCTTAGTGAACAGTGAAATACAAGTTTTAGTTCACCTAGACCTTAACATTCTCCTCCATAATGTATTGCTTCATGCACTCTCGAAACCTTGATGCGATTCCCCATGATTTTCTTTGACTAGGGAGCTTTTGTGGGTCATCATAATCATAAATTGTGTTCCCAAAGTGAAACTTTATGCTCCATATTTTTAATTAGGTTCATGCTCCAATCCATGTGCATCATACTTTGTTTAACTCGAATCATATATAATGTTTGATTCTCTGGTCTAGAGATTGATTTATCATCCACAAGGTTAGGTTAGGGAATGCACTTTCAACTCTATACATCCTCCAACTTTTTCTTTTTCTTTTTCTCGATAAATCATAGTTGATGAGGATTATATGTATCGATGAATAAATTAGGTTATGTTCAGTGGTGGGTTTTTTTCTTTTTGTTTGTAGTTGGTCTTTTTTGGTTATATGTACTCTTTTCCTCATCTAGGCCTAGAGGGTTATATAACAAGACATATTACCCAGTCAGTTTCGTATTAATAAAATTTATTATGCCGATAAAAAAAAGAATATTGGTGTTTCTTGTTTCATCTCTTTTCTCTTAACTCTTCTTTTTTTTTTTGTGTATCAGATCTCCGAATTTAAGATTGACGTGATTGGTTGTCCCTTGTTCCCATATGTAATGGGGTAAGGGGGAGTTAGATAGTAGGTTGGCCCCAACACTAGGTTGAGAGCAGTTTCCGTAGGAGACCTCCAACTCAAGGTTAAGAACCTTGTGCTCTACCAACTGAGCTAGATGGTCATTTAAGATTGACGTGATTGAAAATATCAAATCATTAGACTTTAAGCAGTTTAAGGAACATCATAAAGTTCTTAAAGAAAATGAAGGCAATATTGTAAATGCAAGAAAGGGGTCTTAATAATATTGAAACTGGACCTTTAAACCTTTATCTTCTATAAAATATGAAAAAGTTATTAAGTCTCATGCAAACATGAATTCTAGGTCACTGTAAGTTTGAATGTGACATTCTAGATTCAACTTTTATCTTGTATTGTTATTAATAAACTTATCAAGCGACTTCAGTGGTAAGAAGATAGTGTTATTTTCCTTGAAGATTTCAGGTTCGAACAGTTATATGTAAAATATGTTTACACGTTGTCAATGGCTTAGAAAGATTCTGAACATATATTATCTTATAATCACCTAGACTATTCAAAAAAATATAATTAATAATTATATATATATATATATATATATATATATACACTATTAGGGTGTGTTTGATTCACGAAATGTAAGATTACCGGTGGGAATAAAATATTACTAGGGAATAGGATTACTGGGAATGTTGTATTTTGTGTTTGGTTGGTTTAGCAGAAATGTAAGATTACCATGTTTGGTTAAAGGAATAAAAGATTATTGGAATGTATATTTAACCAAATTGTCCTTATTATGTATTTGTATAATATTACAAGTTGTAAAATATTTATATATTTTCTTTAAAAAATTAAATTCATAATATTTATATACTTTTTTTACAAAATTAAAAAAATATAAAAAATGTTTAATGAAAGGGTAAAATTTTATTTTTAACCCCTGAACTTCATATAAAATTTTAATTATAGATTTTTTTTGTAAATCTAAAATAATTTAAGGATAAATTTGTAATTTAACCTTTGTAGAATTTTTATTATTCAATGACATAAGAATAATATTTTTGAAAAAAAATAAAAATTTAAGGACATTTTAGTCCAAAACGCCGGTAATGTTACAATATCTAAGGGAATGGAGGTAATGACATTCCCGGTAATATACCCCAAAAAATCCACTATTGATAATAAAACATTACCGGGAATGACATTCCCGGCCAAACCAAACGGGGGAATGTGGATTCCATTCCCGGGGGAATCCCATATTCCCCAATCCAAACGCCCCCTTAACATAATACATAATTCAAGACAAACTCTAGCCCATATATATAACCCCAATTCAATGGATCCAATCTCAATTTTACCAAGTTGGGCCCAAATCCATATTAATCCAATCATTTAAACCATTGTGAAAGAAAGCTTATTCCAGCTTGTCCCCTTGTGCTGCTCAGCAAAACAAATTCAACAATCAATGAACACATGATAAGGATCTGACCTCCAAAAAAACCTTTTAAATATACGAAAAAATAAATATTTTCATTCGTACCGAAGTTTTTTTTATTCATCTGGATAAATAAAAGGTAGTATTTGCTCAAAGATAACTTTCAACCTTTCGATATTGAACGCTCACACTCCTGACATCTATGGTGCTCAAACTCAGGTCCTGAATGAATAATAACAATTCTTTTACCCACAGAGGTCACTAGGTTCATGCTTCATACCCCAGTTCGAATATTATAATCTATGGCATAATTACCTATAGGGATGGGCATGAGACTCAAACCATGTGGAACCCGACCCGAACCAACCCAAACAAGTCGGATTTTTTTTAAAAAAAATAGGTTCTATTTGGGTCGAGTTGAGTTTAGGTTTAGGGTGAAAAATACCCGACCCGACCCAAAATATTATAATTTTACCTTATATATTTAGGGATAATTACAATAATACCCATATATATATTTTTCAATTAAATCATTATTTTTATTGAATAAAAATAATATTTTTAATAAATAAATTATTTCAAGTCGAGTCGGATCAGATTCGAATTTTATCTAAAAAATCGAGCGGGTTCAGGTCAGTGGGAGGTGTATATTTTTTAATCGGGTCGGTGGACCGAAAATCCGACCCATGCCCATCACTTACCTGATACTTCTGTTTGTAAAGTTTAGCAGCCGTTGCATGGGCAAGGAAAAGGTTATGAACAGCAATGCGAGGTTCAATGGCTCCATTAAAAGAATCAAATTTCGTTAAAGATTTAGGTCAAGTGGTTAAAATGGGTAAAATTTAAAAGTTTACTAATAAAATTAAAAATCTTTAGAATGAATTGACTGGTCAAAACAAAAACTCAAACAAAATTGGGTGACCAAAACGATAGTTTACCCATACAAAATGAACCGATCATGATATGATATGAAAACAAACATAGGAAAAAGTAAGAAAACACAAATTTGTAACATAAGTAAAACATGAATACTCAATGTTTTTTTATTTGTTCATGGTGTAAGAATGGCAATTGAGAATGGTCGAAAAAATGTATCTTTGAAAGAGATGCAATTTCTATTGTCAACTGTTTAGTTGCTCAAAGAGAAGACATCTCGGTCATGAAATTGCTTTTCAACGAGACGCATGCAGCTCGTGCTAATCACCCGAATTTTAAAGTGTTCTTTACGTATCGAGAGGCAAATGGGGTGGCGTGCTTGGGCTTTGTCGAGGACCAATCCTCTTTGATTCATCTATGATGAACTTGAATATATTAAAAACGATGCACATCTTAGTGCTATTGATATTTGAATGAATACATTTTATCTTTAAAAAAACACTCCTTCAATTTGTCTATATATGGAGTAGAACTAGGGTTGTAAACGAGCCGAGTCGAGTTTGAGTATTGATGAGCTCAATTCGAATCGAAAACTCAGAAATAGAGCTCGACTCGACTCAAAACTCGTGAGCCTAAAATTTTCAAACTCGATTAGAACTCGAAATCATGAATTAAAGCTTAAGAAATCTCTAAAAGGTTCGACAAGAAAAAAAATCTTAAGCTTAACTATATTAAAGCCTCATACTCAAACTCGAACCCGAACCTTAAATACATGAAAATCTTATAATGTAATTTAAGAAAAAAATCAACACATAAATGTTACTATTATTAATAATTTATTTAAAAAAATAAATTTTTAATATATTATATTTCCGAGCTGCCCACGAGCTTTTCGAGTCGAGTATTAAATAGCTTATTTTGACTCGTTAAGAACTCGAGTCGAATATTTATCGAACTTTAACCAAGTCGATCTCGAGTAGCTCACGATCTTACTCGACTCATTTACGGCCTTAATATAACCATCTCTTCTCTATTTTTGTTTTGTTAAAAGCTCAGTTATATATTTCTCAAGAAAAAAAAAAACTTTAGTTTTATATATGGAACTAAACAGAATATACAAAACTACAAGGATGATGAGACCAACTGCAGAAGCCCAACACTCTTACCCATTGGACCCAATTTTCCCTCTGAATTTCTTTAGTTTTTAACCAAAACCAGAACTCCATGGTTGCTATTTCAAGAAGCTCCTACTCCAAGGAAATCAATGAAGGATATGTTGTTGATCTTCAAATCTCCATTTGCAGTTTTGGGTTGGTTGGTCCTATTTGTGCCCACTGACTCAGTTGCAGAAACTTCTGAGTTAGAATCTGATGAGTTAGCATATTGGTCCACACCCATACCTACTCCCATTGCTCCTCCTTGTTGGTAACACACCTTCACTTTTCCACCTGATGAACCTGCAAAAATCATCATATTTCCTCACATGAACAAATAAAAAACTTTAAAATCGAGCTCTAAGTCTTATAATTTTTAAAAGTTATAAAATGATCCTACGAGTTTAAGGTATTATTTTGTTGAATATCTAACACTGAAATGTTACGAAATGATCACTGAATAGTAAAATGACTCAACAAAATAACACCCTATAATCAGAGTATTATTTTATAAATTTTACAACAAAATAGTATTTATAATTTGACCATTTGTTACTGTACCTAAAAAAAAACTTTAAAAAGCAAGTGATCATGAAAAAAAAAACTAGGCATACCCATTGGACTAAAAGTGGTGAAGAATTGATGGGTTAATTTGGCTGATGAAGAAGGGGTGAGTGCTAGATCAGTGCAAGTAGAGGCTGATGAAATGGTTGATTGGTCGGTGCTGTCATCAGCCTGAGCAGTGATGGCTAAAGAAGAAGGCTTTCTCCTCCTACAAATGCTTGATTGCTCTCTATGTTTCCTGGCCATGATCACATGCCAATGGTTCTTCACTGCGTTATCAGTTCTACCAGGGAACAGTCTGGCAATCATTGCCCATTTGTTTCCATACACTTTGTTTGCAGCTAAAAGCCTCTCTTCTTCTTCTTCACTGAATGCCCTCCTATTGATCCTTGGATTTAGCTGGTTGAACCATCTTAATCTACAACTTTTTCCTGCAAAAAAAAGGAAACCCATTTAGTAAAAAGATCAAACATTTGTAAAACCGATGATTAATGGTTACAAAGAAGGGAACTTTAACCTGATCTCCCTTCAAGATTTTCAGCTATCAAGTTCCAGTTTTGAGGACCATATCGAGCTACAAGATCTTTTAGCATTGCATCTTCTGCCGGTCTCCAATGGCCTCTACAGCAAAGCTTAGTGTGCCCATTTTTGGTTCCCCTGGTTTGTAGTGGCTCTAAGATCAAACTTTTATTGGTTTGTTCCATTGAAGAAGATGGAATCTGGAACCCCACTTGGGAGTTGGTAGTAGAAAGAGACAAGAAATTCATCTTTTGTGGACTCGTTATCAAAAACCAAGAAACGAAACCAGATGGTGGAGGAAGATGAGATTTTTTTTCTTCTTCTCTTGCAAAGCCCCAACCATTCAAATATGAGTGTTTGGGAAGAGAGAAAATGAGAGAGCTGGGTAAAACAGATGATTTAGAAGAAGAGAAGAAGGCAACGATGTGTTTGCTTGTAAACTGCGTTGGTTCTTTGGGCTTAAAAAGGCCATGGAAGATGAGGTCAGGAGCAAGGGGATGAAGGGAGGAGATTTATTTATTTATTTATTTCATCGATGAACAAAAGCCTCGGCTTTGCATGCAACTGGAGAACCGCTCGTGTGGGTGTTTGGGAGTATGTGTGTCTCTCTCTCTTACTATTATTTTCAAGATTTGGATTTGATTAATTCGGATCGATTCGGTTTGAACACCTAATTTTGGTAAATGAATCTAAGAATTTTCTGTATATAAAAATACTCGAACTCGAGATTTACTTAAGTGATATCAAGTTGTTTACCACTTGAACCACCAACTCCTTGATTTTTTTGTTTTGTTTAATCATTTAAATATAATATTGAATGTTATTTAAATATTTATTAATTTAGAGTAAAATACGCATCTAGTACCTAAATTATCAGCTTTGATTTATTTTAGTATATAAACTTTCAATTTTTCAAAGTTGTTCCTAAAGTTTAGTTTTTATTTCATTTTAGTACCCATTTAAAATTTAATGTTATTTTTTTAATTTTTTTAAAAGTTTAGGTACTAAAACGGACCAAAATTGATAGTTTAGGCACTAAATACGTTAAGTTTTTAACGGTGGATACTAAAATGAAATAAAAACTAAACATTATGTATGATTTTGAAAAAAAAATGAAAGTTTAGTTACTAAAACGGGCCAAAATTGATAGTTTATGTACTAAATGCGTAGTTTCGAAATTATATGCAGAAATTTCATAATTTTTATCAATTAGGACTCGCTAAAGCTATCAATAAAATTGTAATCACTATGTTATCCAAAGTCTCCATATATGTCTTCCCATCTATCAAAGTCTATAACAGGCCCACGTCCATCAAATATAGGCTTCTTAATCAATTGCAGTATATAGACAAGACATTTAACAAGTTCATTTGATTTATTATAGCACAATCGAAGTTTGACAATCAATTTTTCTAGTATTTTAATTACAAATAATCACAATGATCATATGACTCACGCACACACTGAAAGTCACTATAAGTAACTAGACCCGAATAAATATTAGTAAAAGGGCTGAAACCTTTGATATTTTACATTGAAATTCATATTTTTCTTTTTTATGATAACTTCCTTCTTACATAGAAACATTGGCTAATAGTCACTTCACCACCGATCGTGACTCTCCATCCTTATAAAAAAAAAATGAACCGTCAACAATTAATGACATAAGTTTATACACGTTGTAATCTCATATTTATTATCTAATCCTAACTATGAAATGATGCGAATTAATAATCTAAATCTAATTTAACAATGATTATAATTTAATTATAAAAAACACTAATTTTGAGGAATTGGTGCAAACGATGAAAGGGGTGTGTGTTTCACATCGGGGATTGAAGCAAAAAACCAGAATCTGTTTGTCCTTTTCTCGAACACTTTTGCTTTTTATAAATCTTTATTCAAAAGAGTCCCCGTTACCCTCAATTTCCTCCTTTCTTTTAGCCCCTCTTTTGTTAAAATTATAGTTTTTTAAAATTAAAATCTTAAATTTTATATTAAAAATATAATTTAAATTAAATTAATATTTTATTATTATGAACTCCGAGGACATGGGTGTCCCGGGGGAGGCGGGCATAAACGAGGTGACATTCTTTCGTGACCTCACACAGAGTTGAGGTATATAGTTAGGGTTATCCGTAGAGCAACTGTTGCACCTGCACCACCCGCTCCACTCTCATAGCCCCTTAGAAGTCCCCCGTTGAGAGACTTTGCCACTATAATACCACTGACTTCTTCGGATCAAATGAGGACAATCTTGTGGCAATTGACCAGTGACTCTGTGAGAATCTTTGTATCCTGCAACATCTTCATCTTACCACTGAGGGTAATCTCGAGTGCATTACTGCTCTGCTAAAGGGTGATGCTATTAATTGGTGGAAGTCGGTATATATGGCACTAGAGCCCGATCGTCCGACATGTAAGGTTTTTTTTGTCTGAGTTTAGAGGAAAATACATAGGTGAAACCCACACGGATGACCTAAGAGATCAGTTTGTTTATCTGACTCAAGGAGATTTCTTAGTCTACGAGTACGAGAGCGAGTTTTGTGCCTAAGTCGCTATGCACCCGAAATAGTGTCTACTGAGGAGTATCGTTGTAGGAAGTTCAGATAGGCACTTCATATTGATATTCTCATGCATCTGGTGGCCAACCCACCGAGGGTATTTACCGAGCTGACACATCAGGCCTAGGTGATTGACCAAGTTCTAAAGAGGAGAGCCAATTTGATGAGCGATTCTACGAGGTAGAGTTGTCAACCACCTGATATTGTTGGATCATCACATACGTCGGCCAAGAGGACCAAAGATTTGTAACACCCCCAACTCGTATCCAACCCGGATACGAGTCCGAAGTGTCGCATTGACTTTTCAAACCTTTATTCGTATAAAATAGTGAGTAATTTTAAAAACTTTTATAACATTTAACTTATTCAAAACATTTACAAAACTATTCAGAGCTTATTCAATATATTCTTTTGATTACATGCCAACTAGAACTTTATATAAAAAAATATACATATTATTCACCTCTCTTCTGATCTGACATTCGGTAAGGAGAACTGACCTGCCTTGTTCCTCTTTACTTCTCTTTTCGCTTTCCAAACCTACGTGTGAAACAATCACACGCTAAGTCGATGACTTAGTAAGGCATATAAAACATATAATATTTTATATAACATAAAGCATACATAAACATATACCATCATTATCATTAAGAAACACATATAACATCATATGGTTCATGTAACACATTTCAAACCACTTACTTTTGATAACCATTTATAAACTCATCATATACATATCACATTCAGTATGTTTGTTTAATCTCTTTATTAGCCCATGTACACTAGTGAGAACTTAAGGTATGTGAGTACATTGAGGTTGTGCACACATATGCTGTCACCACAGCTCATATAAATGTCCCGAAGGACCAAATATCATTCCTTAAGAATCATATACATATGCCAAGGATCAAGTATGTGTCTCACCAGACTTCACACATGTTCCAAAGAATACATATATGTCCCGAAGGACCTATCCAGAGGTCATAAAGATCCTCGGTAACTATCCAGAGGTTATAAAGATCCATGGCAACTGTCAATAGGTTCCGAAGAACCTAGGTAAACTGTCCATATGTTCCTTATAACATAGGTATACTGTTCATATCCTCTCGAAAGACATAGGTAATTATGTCCATATATTTCGTAGAACACATGTATACCCTCGACTCTTGGCATGCCAACTATACCCCTAGCTCTCATATCATATAACATGGGCATTATCATTTATAACATTTCATATCACTTGTTATTTCTCTTCTGTCACATACCACATGTATGTGTAACCATATATCTCATATCATATCACATATTCACATAAACATATAATTCATATATTATATGTACCTTTTCTCATATATCTCATATAATATAATTTATGCTCTGTCCTCTTATGTTCACATGACATAATGCATACAAATCATATTCACACATGTTTTTACTCATGAATTCATACATGATACAAATCATGTCATTCACATATTTAAATTTATTACTTCATGTACTATAATTATAGGAAATAACACTTCTCTGGTGTTCATATGACATGTAAATCATTGTCATATCTTGTTCTCATATGTTTCCCATACATCACATATATCACATATTCATATAGGCTCAAGATTTTTATCACCTATCATGTCATTTCACATATACACTTTTATTACATTAAAAGATGGACATGTAGTCTTATGTGACCTATCAATACTATCTGTTCATATAATCTCCTTTTACCTTATAAGCAAATACTACTTATTTTATCCCACCTTTCTATTTATTCTCCAAATTATTTATATCAATTCACATGGTTTATTACACAACTTATATCACCTTTTCATGTATTACAGATATCTTGTCGCATATCTTATATCTTGTCATCATATCATTACATACAAAAACATGTCAACACATATAATCAAGCATACATACATTTCATGTCATTCACATACTTATAATCAAGACTTCATGCACTATAACTATAGGAAATAGACTTATCACAAGTTCAATTTCCATATAATTCTATAAAATAAGATGCACTCACCTTAGCTTTGCTTTGATTCGATTCTAATCCTTCAATTATTTCTGAATGGGATCACGTTCTATATCTACATAATCATTCATAGATCTATATCAGTATTATAACTAATATACTCTAATGGTTCACTCCTTAGACTAAGAAAAATGTCAATTTCATCTTTCAATAAAAGTATGCATCGATGCACTACCGATGAATCGGTGCATAAAATGCATTCGATATTGTATTATCATTGGGATGCATCGATGCATGCCTTATGCATCGATGCACTAATTGAATTTGATGTTTCCTTATTAATGGGATGCATCGATGCACTACTTATGCATCGATGCACGAATTGCATTCGATGTATTTATTTTAAAAGAGTGCATCGATGCACTACCAATGCATCGATACACCTTCAAACAATTTCTGGGTTTTAACCTTGATGCATCGATGCACAATGAATAATGCATCGATGCACTCTGCCCAGAATCCTCTTTTTGAACCCGAAAATCATTCATTTTGGATTAAATCCTTCATGTTTCATCCCTTTTTTCATTCTTAACTCTAGTACACATACTTAAAACAATCTATACTCATTTATTTCATCTTAAACCTCAAAATCCTATCTTCCATATGTAATTCAATAATTACATCAATTTTGCAACATGTT